TCACAAAATGAGACATAAAAGTACAAGTGTCACAGACGCACTCTTCCTGCCAAAGTGTTTCCTTTCTCATTGTTCCCATATAATTATAACATAAATCGATTGGGATATAAATATTGTACTTGCATTTCAGTGGACAGTCTATAGAGCAGTGTAAACAAGTCGTATGAAATTTCAGTTTGCACTGACTTCGCCAGTGCTTTTTATGTGGCCTGTTGTAAACCTAGGCAAATATCTAACTGAGTTGATGTACCCCTGCGAGACCCCCAGGGGACGTGTACCCCGGTTGAGAACCACTGGTCTAGAGAAAGGGGATTGTTTTCTATTACAAATAGAAAATGGGGGAGGGTGTTTCTGTCCTGGGAACTGAGGGCTTGTGCCTCTCCCAGAGAACGTGTCTTCCTGGTCAGACTGGAGAGCCTCCCCCATGGCCACGTGCTGCCCGGGGTCCTGCAAAGGGTGGCCTCACCCTGGCTAACTCGATGGCCCGTGTGGAGCGTTGATAGCAGAGCCCAGCTCTGTGCCATTATTCATCGGTATGTGGCGTTCAGGACACCTAAAATGGCTGCTAGTCAGCAGCAGCTATCGTGCCTCTTTGGCCTTCCAACAACCAGCCCCCGACACAACGAGACCCAAAGCCCAGAAAGGCCACTTACCGGCTTCGCTCCCGGGAGCCCCAGGTGCGCCCACTCAGCAAAGAGCTTACAGAACCGGAGTGATTTGTGTTCGGTTTCCCATCTCTCTCCTGTCTCTCCCACTGACGCCGAGCAGGGTGAATAATCTGGAAAGTGAAAGCAACTGGCAGGGTTTTTTTCCTGTTTGTCTTTGAAAGCAGCGAGCAAACAGCCCAGTTCCAGCGCTGCTGTTCCCAGCCAACGAGCCTGGATGTCGACCCCAACCAAGAATCCTGAACATCACAGACGGTGGGAGATTAGGGGCAGATCTACACTAGAAATTGACATCGGCACAACTGCACCCCTGTTGCGTATCTGGGGAGACGCTCTAAGCCGACGGGAGAGAGCTCACCCTATAACTCCACCTCTGTGAGAAACGCTAGTTATGTCAGCGGGAGACACTCTCCCATCCACATACAGCTGTCTACACTGGGCGTGTGTGTGTGGATTTTTCACACACACACACACCCCCAAGCGACGCAATAAGTGTGTAGTGTAGCCCTGGCCAAAGAGCTGAAGGTGATGCTGCAAAATTTTCTTGGTGGACGTTCTTTGACTCTTGCCAGAGGGTTTACTCTTGCCCTAATGGGGTCCCCTGGCAGAGAGCTGCGTTAGCTTGGCAGGAACTGGTCAGTCTCAAGCTAAGAGGGCTTGCACATACTCAGTCCTTGGCTAGGAAAAATATCCAGAGAGCACTGCAGGGAACGGAGTTAGTAATCCAGTACTAATGGGCGCTCTCCCCAGGCACTCAGGGCTGGCCCTGATGCCCCCGGCTGGTGCTTGGGGGCGCTGTGCTGCAGGGAGCAGGGTGGGGACTCTCCCCTGGCAGTCAGGGCTGGCCCCAATGCCCCAGTGCCGTGCTGGGGGGGCTTTGCTGCAGGGGGCGGGGTGGGATGTCTCCCCGGCAGTCAGGGCTGGCCCCGATGCCCCTGCTGGGTGCTAGGGGGCGCTGTGCTGCAGGGAGCGGAGCAGGGGTTCTCCCAGGCAGTCAGGGCTGGCCCCGATGTCCCAGACTGGCACTAGGGGGCGCTGCGCTGCAGGGGGCAGCGTGGGGGCTCTCCCCTGGCACTCAGGGCTGGCCCCAATGCCCCAGGCTGGCACTAGGGGTCACCGATCTCCTTTCTCTGGTGTTTCCAGAGAATCATGGCCATGTCAGGCTGGATGGGATCATCACGTCCCCAAGCGTGAAGGAGAGTGCGGGGGGGGTCACCGAGGGGCTTGTCTGGAAATGCACCCAGTGGGCGATGGCAGCTGGCAGCACGGGCCGACCCGAGGTGGGAGTGCGAACGAGAGACGAAAGGTCGGGTGGGGATTGGCCGTGAAGGCCCGTCTGAGCGAAGAGAAGCAGCTGATGTTTGAGGAGCTGGAGAAGGGGGAGCCAGTGCAGGGCTGCAAAGCAAAGAGAGGGGTGATGCAGACAAAGCGGTGGGCTCGGGGAGTGATCTCTGCAGCAGCTTTCTGAATGCCAGGATGGGCAGGGATGGTGTCCCCAGCCTCTGTTTGCCAGGAGCTGGGAATGTGCGACGGGGGATGGATCGCTTGATGATTCCCTGTTCTGTTCATTCCCTCTGGGGCACCTGGCATTGGCCACTGTTGGCAGACAGGATACTGGGCTGGATGGCCCTTTGGTCTGACCCGGTCCAAACGCTGGACTTTGATTTTGTATATACTCCGAAGAGTAATGTCTATTATATGCGTTGCTCATTACAACAGTATATCCTTGGGCTTGGCAGAATTCAGTTCATAATATTGATGTTTATTTTTAAGCCTTTTGTTCGATTTGTATCTATTTAAATGTTTACGGATGCGAGTGTGATGTTGCACTCTATATGATTTGATAAAAATATGCTAAAGAGTGTGAATATGATGTAACTGGAATATGCTTCATGCAAAAGGTCTCTTGTAAGGTATCATTACAAAGCTTATAATCTGCTGAGTGTGATCATCCTATTTGTATAAATGTATCACTCTTGTATCTGAAACTAGAAATATGAAATATAACTCTGAGGGCCTATTGTAATTATGCAAAGTGTGGGCCATTAATGGTGGTTTGGAATCTTGATGACTCCCATTAGCCAGGACAATTGATTGTGGATGGCTCTGTTTGCTTGCAGGCCTTCCTGTGAGTCAGGCTGGGAGAAATGAAGGCTTGGGGTCTTAC